TACGCAAATATCTATGATTGTGTAAAATATATTTTTATAGCAGTTATGTTTTCATATTTAACAAAAGAAGAGGCCGTTGGACACAATTTATTAGGTCGAGTAATAGCGGTAGGTAGGTAATAACAAAAAAATAATTTTACTTCCTTTTTTGGAAACAATATTAAAATAACAAAATAGCACGTCTGTTTTTCCCCGTGTACTAATGTGGGTTGCTATGGTAGTATAGGTGCCTATTGCTTTAAGTTTATGGTATAGATCTAGCTATATATTGTTTTTTTTATCTAAAATTCATTATCATATAAAAAAAATAGGTTTGGTTTCAATTTCAACCTCAAAATAGGAATTGAATCACCGTCAAAAACTAATCTGCTGCCAGAATGATTAAGTGATTAATTAAAAGGCTAGACAATTAATTAAGCAGTTAATTATAGTGATAAAATATAATTATTATACAAACACCATTTTGTTGCAGATGGTTTTTTGTTCAGCACAGAAGAGAAACAGCAGAATCAAGGCGAAACAAAACCAAAGACGTGGAAACTGTTTACGAAGCCGTACCACAACAAGAAAAAGCTGAAAAAGAATAATAAAGATTTATTTACAAATCTATCTTTGCATTGCATTATGGCAATAGGAATCTAAATAAATAATACCGAAATTATTTGTAGGGCTGCCTAATGCTATTATTAAATACTCGCTACCCACCCGTGGTTCTATAGCCATCTCTAAATAATGAATTATCTATACCCATATGAGGTATAATAAAATCGTAGGGAGGTGAAAACATAAAAATAAATAAACATCGAATATTTTTTTTAAAGGATGTTTTGGGCGTAATGTTCAGTCCATACCGAAATCAAAAATATGGTTTTTAGAATTTTTGTCTGTTTGTCTGTACGTATGTCCGGGAAGAACTCAAAAAGTACTGCATGGATTTACCTCAAATTTTGCATGAATATTACTAACAAGTTGGGTCAACATATAGGCTACATATTATCCTGCTATTAACTACGGGGGAGGAGCTGTGAATTACTATTCCACGCGGACGAAGTCGCGGGCTCAGCTAGTTATACATACGATTTTTTATGTTTATGTTTTTATAAAACTTTCGCGAAACATACGAAATAATTATTATGCTTCCGGCGTACTCACGTAACTGTTGGAGAGGAACTCGACTAGTTTCAAGTCATACTAGACGCTCAAATTCATGATCAGCATTCCGTCACCCGCGACGTGGCTACTGTTACGCTGCTACTGAACAATGAATATGAGCATCTAGCTCTTCAAACAGTTACGTGAGTAAGCTGAAAACATAGTCATATAGTAAGATTTTTTTATTGAACTCGGCAGTTCCGGCATCCTATAATTGAGTATAAAAGTCTGTATGTGTAATGTAAACTACTGCACAGATCCAGATATAAATTGGAGTAGTAAGTATTCATGAGAATATGGCGGATCACGGCTACTATGCATAGGTATATAAATATGGCACCTATAAAATTAAAACCTGGAAACGATTACCGTTGATAAATGGCGATTGTCACGAAAAAGATAAGGTTTAAAACAAACACTGGATTAATTTGTGACAACGATAAAACGATTGTGACTCAAACGAGTCATTATTAATTATTATTTACCTAAATATTGTAAGTAAACAAATTAGTACTAAGAAAATGTATTCTGTATATTTTTTTAATCAAAGAAAATTATAGTTTAAAGTAGGTTTTTAATAAAATATGCGTATTTGTGAATGAACCACGTGTTTTTGTTTATTTACATTTTTAAAACAATAACAAACTGACGCATGCTACATATTCTTGGAAGTGTGGGTAGTGTAAAATACAAACATATAATTGTATAGTAAATATACTTTTTTCCTTTAGATAAGGACTAGATTAGATGTTTAAGAAATGTGACATTTTATTACACTTGTTGGTGCTAGTTGGGTAGCCCAGTTATCCAGGAAAAAATTATAATAAAAAGCAAAATAAATATTTAAATATAAGTTTGGAAATATATTGGGTTTAAAAAAAATCTCACAAGTAGTACGGAGTCTGGAGTTCTTGGGATGCTCGGTATATGGCAATAGTCTCACCTCTATTACATGGAACTCATAATATAGTACAGTGAAAAATAGGTGTTACAATGTGCAGCTGCATTAAGTGCTGCAATGTGTACTTCTGCCTACGCTTCTAGGGATAAAAGGCGTTATGTTATGTTTGGCTACATCTTGTTTTACGATCTACTTGGGATTTTAATCTTAATGAATTTGAAATTGAGCATAGAACCTCGTAATCACAGTACTGACAACCACTAAACAACCAAAATAGTTGAAATGATGTAACATACGCTATTATTAATCATGAGACGGTCAAGGGTAACCACTTTTATTAATATATTCCATAATATAGAGGTACAAAACTCTATATTTCTTATTTAAAAAAACTTGTTCTTGAAGTAAACATACTAGTAAGATGTGTATGCTGCGTCTGTAGGCAGTGTTATTTTTTATATTATGAATACTAAAAAGTTAAATAGGTATTCGAATTCCAAAAATCTTTTTACTTTTCTCTGCCAATTTAAAAATTTGGAATGTGAAGTGTGTGGAAAGAGAACAAAAATAATGTTTAAATTGTACAGATTGTACACTTAGTTATAAAATAGTGCCGGTATATCATATGGACTGTTGAGTGAAAGAATCTTATTTAGGGTAAGCTAATAAAAGATTTGTAATACCACATATATTACATGTTAGTTTAGTATGACTCCGTAGTAAGAGTTTAATTGAAAACCTACTTCATATAGAACTGATTCTAAGAGCCCTTTCTAAGCCTTCTAACCTACGAATACTAGACCAGCGAGTGCGCCTTTATGTCACACACACATCAACAGATATAAGTGGCCACTGCTGACCAAAGGCCTCTTCTCACACGGAGAAGGTTTAAGCATTATTCACCATGCTTGCTCAATGCCGGTTGGCGATTTCAAATTGATAATTAGAAATTATAAGCCCAAGTTTCCTTACCGTTCGTAAGTTGTAATCTTAGAATGTATATATAACTCATAAAAAGCCACATTGGAACGTGACAGGTCGGGCCCGCACCCTCATGTATGAGAAGCGTGCGTCTTAAACCTCCGGGTCCAGGCCACCACGACTATTATTTATATTTAATACATCAATATCCAGTATGAAATAAGCAAAGCTAGTAATTAAAAATCTTTTACTAGTATTAATATAAATAGAAATAGTGTAAATAGTACTGTTGTGGAAAGGGTAAATAATAGAGACAATGGATCATATCACGCTTACTAGTTATTGTCTACTCAGAGATAATACAAATAAACGTAGGTAATATTACGACGTATATTCTTAACAATATATGGAGTATGTTATGTTATGATATAATAAGAATGCTCTCTTATAAGAATAATGGTATGCTAGTCATTTCCGTCTATACCTACTTAATAGTACGTTTTCTGCGCTCTCTAGATGGCGCTTGTGACGAAAATGAGTCTGTTTTGATTTATGATCGGATATTCCAAAGTTATCGGTTTGTCAATATTGATTCAAATTATTCAATATGTAGAAATGTAGAAGTCGATTGGTATAGTGATCTCAATGTTCTGATTAGTTTGCTATGAATTTAACACAATACATTGTAATACAATATAATATATTGTACTGTGTTAAATATATTGTTTTGTGTATGGAAGTTGCGGTTTTGTATTTGTGATATGAAATTTTTTATGCATGTTAGGGACAATTTTTTGAAAGAATATTTTAATTAACATTTTCCTGGTTCATTCATTACATTATGTGACGTAGTGTAAACAAGTTTTAAATGTTTGTGTAAAGTCCATCTTTCATTTGGTAAAACCCGAAAACAGATTTCTCTTCGGAGATTCAGATTTCTGGTAAAAGGTACATACAGGTATTTTGTTCCAGCTTTTTGGATTCATCGATGATGATGCAAATCTTAGCTGACAGTTCTTAAAGTCCACGAGCAGCCTATGTTCAGCTGTGGACATTTTAGTTTATTTATTTATTTAGTCTTCAATGTACACAATTTAATTATGGCACATAAGGCGAACTTAATGCCATATGGCATTCTCTACCATTTGACATTTTGTGACTGATGTGGTAATGATGATGAAACTGAACAGTTTATGAGTTGGGATCCTCCATAAAACATAACTATCCTATTGATGTGCTATATTTTATACCTGTACGCGTGAAGTACCTAGGTATATAGTATATGCAATTTTTCGTACGATGTGTAATATCATGACTTTTTAGGACATAAATAATAGGCGTACTAATACAGGGACTACATAAGACTCGAAGAAAGAAGAATATTAAACTCTCAATGTGATCAGCGAAACTCTTAGGCACTTCAAAGGTAAAATGCATTTTCGGAAGACACTTACACTAAGAAGATATTTAGATACTAACTCAACAACATGACTGCACGGTTGGTGCGGTGGCTGGGCAACCGGCTGCCGTGCAACGTGTCGCGGGTTCGATTCCCGCACGGGACAACACTTTGTGTGATCCACAAATTGTTGTTTCGGGTCTGGGTGTCATTGTGTATGTGAACTTGTATGTTTGTAAACGCACCCACGACACAGGAGAAAATCCTAGTGTGGGGCAACGTTTTATAAAAAAAAAAAAAAAACATTTCGGAAAATGTGCGTTACACATCCTCTTAACTATGATTCTCGAGTTACCAAACTATTACGTGGTTAATTTTAAGGACTAGATTAGTAGTTAGTAATCCGCTAATTTTAATCTCAAACTGTAAAATTTCCTTAGAAGATTTTCAACTTTATGCTCTTGGGATAAAGTTTGGGTTGTATTGAAGATATTTGACAGTTAACTTCGTGTCTCACGTGTCATTCCACGAGGCAGACGGTTCTAAATAACTCCAAATGTCCAGTCCACGCCACAAATGGCACAAGTAGGTAATTGCTCAAGTATGAATAAAGTGCCCATTCATTGACGTACAGTGTAACACTGGCCGTCTAGTTTAAGTGACACGACCTGGCTGGAGAAGAAAAAAACAAAAAGGTCAGTTGCAGTTCTAATTTTAAAATGGCATTTCCGACTTACTTGTTTTTGAGTAAGTTTTGGCGCCCAATACCATATTGGCGCTAAATCATTTCAAATTGTTTTCTTTTTTTTTCGTCGTTTTCATTTTCTTCAGTTACTGTGAGTGACTAACAGACTACTTAAGGAATGTCAGAATCATGTTTTCAAAATTGAATCACCCTCGACCAGAAACTTTTTTTTTTTTTTTTCGGGGGAAAATCATCCAATGACTTCTCCCGCCCGGGTGAGGCGACTGGGAGTGTCAGACTCTTACTGACTAAAAACCACCCCGTTCCTACTCCTGCACTTCGAGCCGGAGCCCCGGCACCCCGTACCTAAGCTTCTATTCTAGGTGTTTGTGATAGAAGCTGAAGAAGTACAGGGCCTTTAGCCAAACGCCACTTTAGCGCTTGTCTACCGAGAGAGTAGAAAACTAAAGGGATGGGGATGACACTGACAAGTGTCAAAATTTACGTCCATTCCATATAATTTGGTTTTCTATTTGTAGACAAGCGCTAAATGGCATTTAGCTACAGCTGCACCGCCCGCCGCTAGCATTCGAGCGCCCGCGTGCAAATACCGATTATGCCGCAACCCTTTTTGTTGGGTGGGTAAAAAGTCCTCAAATTACTCTTGACGAAGTGACTCCTACAACTCTTACTAACTAAAAACCATCCCATTCCCTCCAACACTTGCTCAAAGCCAGGGCCCCAGTACCCAGTTCGAGACGCTCGATCATTTTCGAGGCCGCTCAATAGTTTTCGAGGACGCTCGAAAGTGATCGAGGACGCTCGATAGTTTTCGGGGACGGTCGAAAGTGGTCGAGGATGTTCGAAAGTGATCGAGGACGCTCGATAGACTTCGAGGACGTTTGATAGTTATCGAGGCCGCAAGAACCTGATCGAGGACGCTCGAAAGTGATCGAGGGCGCTCAATCGTTTTCGAGGACGCTCGATTATTTCGAGGACGGTCGATAGATTTCGAGGACGCTCGTATGTCTTCGAGGATGCTCGAAACTGATCGAGGACGCTAGAAAGTGATCGAGGGCGCTCGATAGCATTCGGGGACGCTCGAAAGTGATCGAGGATGTTCGAAAGTGATCGAGGACGCTCGAAAGTGATCGGGGGCACTCGATAGCTTCCGAGGACGCTCGATAGTTTTCGAGAACGCTCGATAGTTTTCGAGGCCGCTCGAAACAGACGAGGTCACTCGAAAGTGATCGAGGACGCTTAAAAGTGATCGAGGGCGCTCGATAGACATTGAATTTAATGCGGTACTGACCGGTATAGGGCATCAAACGTAATACACAACGCTAATATTGCTTGCGTTGAGTGGGATTTTTCCCGGCGATGATATTTCTTATGCTTTCTGCTTACTCTGGACAATGATTTTGAATATTTTTGTAATGAGTCGCTCGATTTGCCGCCCCCATGATCGTGCGCCCGTGTGCTGTGCACGCTTTGCACGCGCGCTTACGGCGGGCCTGACAGCTGCAGGATACATATTTACGAAACTCACAATGCAATATGTAACGATCGTACAGGATGATTTTTTGTGGTAACTGTCTTTATTTTCTTTGTTTTAAATAAACATGTATGTTTTTCAGTTGAAAAATGAAAGTGACCTTAACAAAAATGATAATTACACATTTAGGTGATATTTCAACACCTGTATGAGTTAATTTAATTTATAATCATCATCATTTATTCATTATCTAATCGTACCCATTCCTTAGATTTTAATTCATAAAATAGAATTGGTAAATCGATGAAATTGATTAGGTTATATTGACGCAATGGCTGCAAAAGTAGGCCATAATTCTAATTAAGATAAAATTGAAAATTCAGAAATGTTGTCAATAATTCTGTAGTTTTGACATTTAAACTGTCAAACACCAAGCGGTCACCGGTGACCGCAACCTATTGTTCTATAATTGTGTCTACAAAACCGGTACTCGACGAGTTAAATAGGGTTCAGTAATGATATTGTAAGTATTTTTTTTTATTTTAATACTATTGGTGTTCCGTTCACAGTGATGTTCTCTCTCAAAGTAGGTACTTAGCTAGGTTTTCATATAAATTATAATTAGTTATTTTAGTATGCCTTATATTACAATGTTATGTAAAAATAATCAGATATCCAAAACAAATAATTCTTTTATAAAAAAGCAATTCCCTGTTTTTTGAAATCGGATAATTAAAACCTTCACCTAAGTGTAACACTTTTTTGAAAACCGTTTCAATATCGGTTCAGCCAATCGCCAGTTAATCGCGTACAAACATACATACATACATATATACATACATACATACATACATACAATGACATTCATACATACAAAAAAGGTTTTTGGATTACGGCATGAGACTTATAGTGTTGTTGTGTTTCTAGGTATTCATATGGAATGCCTATAATGTTATAATGGAATCCGAACATAGCAATTGTTGTCTTGTTTTATAGAAATTATTGTCATATTATGTAAAATTCCTATGATTCCATGTATTTTTCATCGTATTGAAACACTAGCTTTAGCCAGTCATTCACCACAAAGATAAGAAGTAGTCTATTGGTAAAATACTCAAATGTACAATATATATCATACCACTCAATTATAAGAAGTCCTCAAGAATAGTTTAGTTTATAGTTTAGAATAGTTCAGCCATAACAAATTCTTGGTAAAATGACAGAGATTTTTTTTAAGCGGGGAATATCATCGAATGACTTCTCCCGCCTTGGTGAGGCGGGAGGGAGTGTCAGACTCTTACTGACTAAAAACCACCCCATTCCTACTCTTGCACTTCGAGCCGGAGCCCCGGTAACCCGGTAGGTTCTCGACGGCAAAAAAAAGACAGAGATAGCACGATTTTAAGTACCTACAACATAGAATTTAGTAGCATTTCAGTATTCAGACGTATATGTTATTACTATTACAGAGTCTATCTCTACGTCCAATTTCATTCGGGTCTGATCAGTAATTTTTGCTTGGAAGAAAAACAAATCTTTTATTGGCTAATGGATTTTGTAGATGATTCTTTTTTTATATTCTAGTATCTTTACAAGCACAATCTTTGCTTAAGGTTAGTCCATTTTGTCCATTTTATATGGGACAGTATGAGTGACATATTGTTATGTATTGGCGCCATGTTTTTATAATAACTATAGTGAGACATACTGAATTAACTAAAAATGATGGATTACTTATGCAATAATATTGAGAAAAACTCTACTAGTTTCGAGTCATAGAGGGACTCTTCCGCATGAAAAGCGTGTGCGTTTGATTGGCGCCATGTTTGTTTGTTTGCTTGACTTTTATAAGAAGGTTTTGGTGACGTCATTGAAAAAAAAACTTTAAGTTTAATATGTATGTGTTGATAGAACTCATAACTACTTCAAGTGACTACAATAATGGTCGTCAATCAAACTAAAAGTGTGAAAAATCCCCTATCCGTTTATTTCCACTAGTTTTTGTTGAAAACTGTTGAACACGGTTTCACTAGGCTTTGTTTCTATAAGAGTAAGGTTCAATTTGATATATTCAATTTGAATTAAACGTGTCTGTTTACTAAGTTCTAAATGTTTTGTCTAAAAGGGCAATCATGTTTGAATGTTTTTACCATTTAATAAGAATTAGAAAAAAAAGTAAGTGATGAGTGAGAGATGAAAACATTTGTGTGGTTATGTTTAATAGCGTTTTTACTTAGTTTTTTAAATAGATAATTAGGTACATACATACTGCTTACATAAATATGACACACGTGTCTATTTTTTTGAATGCAAGCATCTCAAAAAGTATTGAACGCAAAGTGTTTCATAACTTTTCCAAGGTTTCCTCTATTTTTCTGTCTATACCAATATTACCAACTTAGCTTATTCAAGGACAAGTTTAGTTGCAAGTACATAAGTACCTATATAATAAAGTACTATATGCATATGTATGTTCGAAGTGGATTATCCTTTTAAGGTTGAGCGGAGCAGTTACAAGAATCGGCACAAGGCGACCGTCATCTTAGCAAGCTAAAACTTACTTAGGAAAGTTTCTGTTCACCTTGTTATATATTTTCTCCATTACTTAGTCTATATCTTGTGTCCAAATAGATTTAAAAATAACAAAACTTCAACATCAAGTGACGAGACCTAGTCAATATAATTGGATACTTTCCTTAAGTAAACATAAATTATTTCGACTGTTAAATACAAAAAAATATTTAAAATTATCACACTGTCATTAATTGATATTATGACCAACTTAATCTTAGTACTTTCCAGTATTTTTTTAAAGAAATGAGTACGCTGTTTGACGCTACAAACACAATACAAAATCTCTTACAAGTTCGAAAAAAGTATTGAATTTGACTAGTTGACTACAATTACACTTAGTATGGGTTTTTTTTATTCGACGCCTAAAACATACACGAGCACTTTAATCTACAAACTAAATCTATAAATGCCGCTAATAGCACAACTAAATCACCACAATAACACCAGAACATAGTACAAAAATGTATTAAAGTGTGTAATTTAGTGTTAGAAGAAAAATACTAAATAGTCACCTCATTATATAGTATTCCTATAGTTTTCCGGTCCATAACTCTGTGACCGTTGCGTGATGGCAAAATGTCAGATAATCATAGTTTAGCCGCCATCATTCATGGAGATTCAATTGTCACCGTGAAATTCAGATGTCAGGGAGATCCACGTCCGACAATTCAAGTATAAGAGTGTCTGCAGACGAGCTACGACCACGATTACAAAATGCTGCTACTCTTTTTTAAAGATTGCGTTAATTTCTATAGTTTGCGGACATTTTATATGAACTGGCTTGATGTTAGTCATTGTGAAATACTTTTTATGGCTACTTGACACCGTCACACTCGAGTTTTATTTTCACCAAACAAGAGTCTTTCACTCGCTTCAGCTACATTTATGGCAGTGTCTAGCTTCTAGTACGTTTTGCAGCTTTGGCCAGTTGCTCGTCTGCAGTGACCTTATGGGCACTTGGTACAGACGTTACTTGCGGGATCAGAGTTGTGAAATTGGACTATGCATTCCTCATCATAAAATATATTAAAAGGCTTGTTTCTTATACATACACGGGGTTTATAACATTTTAACTGGTTCAAAGTACGGCAATAAAAGCGTGATGTAATTAGACTAGTAGAATGCATGTGTGTCAGCTTGGAGTTGTCATGCTCACTCAAAAGTCTCATTGGCAGTGGCGCGTGCAGTGGATCGCTCGATTCCCTACAACATGGTCGAGTTGGGCGGTGCTGGTGTACGTGTCATGTTCGTGAACGGGCGCTGTCAAATGGGACTGGTCAGCTCCAGACTGTATTAAATTTGTTGTACTCAAGGTTATTTTCTTTTTCCGTCTCCTTGACCAAATATTGGTATTACATTGTTCTCACATTATTGAACTCAACGAAAGAATGTAACCAAAAATTGTATTGTGAACATGATTGAAAAAGAGTAACCTCTGGAGTTTCTTGCACGTTCTTCTCCATAGGAATCTACACTTTGGAACGAGCAAATTCGGACGCTAGTCACTAGCGGACTGACCTACAGACTGTCATTTTTTCTTATTATTTAATATTTAAATATTTTGTTGTGACGTTCAAAAGTGCCTTCCTGGTTTAATTGAAATAAATGATTTTGACTTTGACTTTAGGCCATATTGCAAAAATTACGTTAAATTCATACCTAAAAAATCCGTAGATCAAACATATATTCATAGCATGTGTCGTGTGGGAATCAAATTCGAATCTCGATGCTCAGTCGATCATTCAGTCGTACATATTAATTAATTACACTAATTTGTGTTAATACAGCTTTCAATAGCTGTACACAAATCCGGTTTATATCAACATAACTATTATAATCTCTGCTGATACTAATTCCTCTTAGTACACCATTATATTCACAGGTTTCAGTGAATTACAACATAATAGACATAATAACCAGGCCATGTTTATTGACAGTCTATTATATACTTAATCGTGTAGATAATAAAGTAAATAATTAATTAAATCAATTATTTAATTAAGATATTTGTGTTAAGTATAATTAATGATATCGTGGCTTATTATTTTATTTAAATATTTATGAATTTTCTTGGAATTTCTAATATGTGGATTTTATAAGTGGTGGTACATGGATTTCTGGGTTTGATTCCTTGTTTTTTGGACAATATTATCTCTTAAAGGAAAATCTGATACGATGACTGTAATACTGAGAATAGAAAAACTACCCAAATGTTTTGCGTTTATTTTTGCTTCGTATTCACAGAATCAGATAGATATAACATTTACTCAGATTATCCTTTAGCAAAACATACTGATTTACACGTCGCTGTTTCTATGAAACATCACAAAATTATATGCTATCGAACATCGAGACCTTTGCCCTTGTTATTAAAGTCCAAAGTGCAATAAAACCTGTATCCGACTATAGCGCGGTTAAAAAATAAACCATGTATGTACAATACACAACTGAATGTAGTTTCAAAACATCCTCCTTTATATTAACACTGAGTTCTCATGCAGGTGCCAGTCGCTGGACAGTCGCTGACCAGAACGGCCACACAGAACAATGGCTCAACTCAAGACCACATAAATTAAACGAAAAAAATAAAAGAACCACAATACATTTAGTGGCAACTTTAATCACCTAAAACAAAGGACTTTATCTAATTGGAATTCTACATTATCATTATAAACGAGTAATTGATACCAAACAGATATGTTGGTGAGACAAATAAGGCAACCATTCTGTCTATCAATGTTTCAGACATAATGTGGTATCAAACATCGCAACAGTGACGGTCGGTCGTGCTCGAGTGCTGTTTATAAACAATGATAGTGATATTATAGTCATATTTTGAATTAATCCGTCAACAGAAAAAAAAACGAAAATGGCGGAAGAAAAAACAAAGCCAGTCGATACGGAAGAAAAGCCATTGAACAAGGATGCCATTCCTAGCCTGTATAAAGACAAAAGTTTCAGAGAAAAGTTGAGATATATTAAGGACAACATCACTGTGGAACCATTGTTAGCTGGTCTGATCATTCCAAGTATTATTTCAAGGTTTGCTATGGGAAATCTTAATTTGGACAAAGCGTGTCGTGTTAATTTTGGTTTTGGAGACGAGATTTGTGATGCGTTAGTAAGTAAGACGAGTAAGAACTTTACGGAGTACGAGCAGGCGGTGCAGCAGCTGATCTCTTCAATAGACATTTGGAAGAGTGTGATCTCAACGGCGTTACCATGTATTATAATAATGTTCCTAGGAGCGTGGAGTGATAGAACAGGGAAACGAAAACTAATTATATTACTTCCAATTTACGGAGAACTGTTAACGTCGATAAATAATTTAGTAAATGTCTATTTCTTCTATGAGATTCCTGTGCAAGTTACGGTGTTCTTAGAGACGCTATTTCCAGCCATTACTGGTGGTTGGGTGACAATGTTTTTGGGTGTATTCAGTTACATTAGTGATATTACTTCGGAAGAGTCCAGAACATTTAGAGTGGGTCTTGTGAACTTTTGTATGACCGCCGGTCTGCCTATTGGTATCGGTATCAGTGGGTTTTTGCTGCAGAGGATGGGATACTATGGACTATTCACATTGACAAGTGGACTGTTTTCCCTTGTGCTGATGTATGGCACTTTCTGCTTGAAGGAGCCTGATCAGTGGCTTCAGGAGAAAGGACTGCCACCGGTAAGTTGGACTTTGTATTATTTCTTTAGAGATCGATGCGTCATGTACTGGGTACGATCAGATATTCCAATAATACCTTGTCTAGCCCCGACTTAAGTCACAGAGTCAATGAAACAGTGTATTATCAGCATGTTAAACATCGTCGTCTTAAAGATTTTTCTTCCATTTGTTAATTGCTTAAGACTCCTTATAAGTCCATATACACACTGTGGTCGGCCATTACAATTGCGTTTGTATTTCGTGTGTATGTATTTTGGGTTTTACATACACTATATATCTCAAGATAATACGAAACGTAGCAGTAAGTTAATCATTGATTGCGTTGCGGGATTAAGATTATAAAGAGAATGTACTCGCTCGTGTAAGCAAATGACAAACCTGTACTAATAATTATTATTAACTAGCTCCTACCCAGTGGCTTCGCCCACGTTTCTGTGGGGGATAAAAAGTGGCTTATGTAATCTACCCCCGTTTCTTATATCATCTCGATCCCTTCAGTCGTTTTGACGTGACGAAGTAACGAACAATCATATATATGTATATATATTCCTTTCGGATTTGTAATATTAGTAGGATTTCTAGCTATCCCCAAATAAAAATCTAGGGAATTGAAAAAAAAAACTTTGCTCCACACTAGAATTTTCTTTGTGTTGTGGGTGCATACTCATAATTTTATATACACATTATTCGCACATTCATTTTTTTTTGAGGTGTAAAATCATACAATGGCTTCTCCCGCCTTGGGTTGGCGAGAGGGAGTGTCAGACTCTTCCTGACTAAAAACCACCCCGTTCCTACTCCTGCTCTTTGAGCCGGACTTAGGCCTTCCGCGGCTCCGTATCGAGCATCAGCCCTACTTTTTGTAATTTAGTATTTGTTTTTGTTAAGAGCAACTCCAATGCGAGGATTCTGCTTACCCATTTTGGTAAAAACACAACACGCATCATGTTAATGGCAATGATTATATCGACTTTGACTTTGATAAAAATTGATTGAACATAACAATTGAAAGAACATGGTAAATTACCAGCATGATGCAATTTTATATTTATTTCTTTAATATTAAAGTTCAAATTCAAATTATCAAGTTTAATCTTTATTTTTTTTAATCAATACATAGCTACTTATGCACGTGTAGTTATATATACCTACCTATATATATATACGCATGTACGGTCAAACGCAATATATAAAATATATGTCACTGTTTTGAATTATATATTCTTGATAATAGTATCAATATTTTAATAGATTATGTTTTATATCATAACTAGTATTAGGATTATTACTTTATTAGAATACCTATATATTATTTGAATATATGACACATATTATGTGTGACCTAATAATGTGTTGTGTAGGTACCTAAGTCAGTAAATTGATGTCAAATAGGTGAAGTGTGAAAGTGTATATTTATTATATATGACTGTATATAATGATTTTTTCAACTTTATTTACTCATTGCAGTAAAGTTAAACAACAACTAAATGAGGAGGAGCTGATGTCCAAAGCATCTCATATATTTTATTCACATGCAACAACAGTATTTTTTTTAAAGTGTTCTGAACATTCTCATTGAATATGTATACATTTCAAAGTTCTGCTGCATTATATAAATATAATGTAACTGGCAATTTTAAACAACATAATAAGACAATAACTATTAATAAATTGACTAATATCCTAAATCAAAAATAAATTATTTCAACTGTGTTCAATAAACTAAAATATTAAAAAATAATCACACTTTCATTAATTGATTGCATGTCAAAATTTTAATTTAAAATTTATCCAGCAAATTTTTAAGATATAAGTGTGCTGTTTGACGCCAACAAAACGTGACGTCACAATTCACAATGTCGTAACAAAAAAAAATGTCGTTTTCGACAGTTCGAAAAAAGTAGGGACTTTGATTAGTTGCCAAGTACCCAATTTTCCTAATGTGACTGGCCACATAATACCTGGTACTTATATCAATTTCCAGTCCTCTTACAAGTCAGTTGACCACTTGACCAAGAACAAAAAATATATAAACATCAATAAAAAACTACAATATTTACTCTACTTATTACAGATATGCAGCCAATAATAAATAAGTGCTGTAATTAAACAGGTAATTACGTTTACATTGATTAAGATCTCGCAATGTTTGCCATCGATTGAGAACCGATTCTTAAGCAATCAGGAGATCTCTTTTTTATCTTGATATATTGTTACTAAGGGCTTGTGATAGAAACAATAATAAAAACATTTTTTTTTAATTTACTACAGAGTATAAAACAGAAGTCGCTTTCGGTCTGTCCTTGTGTATGCGTTCTAATCTTTAAAACTACGCAACGTATTTTGATGCGGTTTTTTTAATAGATAGATTGGTTCAAAGTTGAGTTTTATATGTAAAGTTTAAATTAATGCGTGCGTGCGGCCGCGGGAAAAAGCTAAATAATTTGTACTTTTTATTTTTATGGAATAATTAATTCATTAACATAAAAAAAATCACGAAGTAGTCGAACTATATTTAAAAAAGTAAATAGATACATTGTGTAGTTGTTTAGATATTTTCCTATCGCATAGAATTTTAAATTCATATGAGTCATTTGATAATAATATACTAGAACAATCCAATCTTAGTCCAAAGTTCCTATTGAATTACAAATGAATACAGAATTAATTTTATAAAACTGTTTTTTCAGTTTGTAAAAATAATGTTATATCCAGAACAAAATAATTGTAACTAAGAAAGAACGTATAGACATTTAGCACGACAGCGAAACACGAAATTTTGGATTTAGATTTTTTAGCAAACAGTTCTTTAATGTTAGAACCATTAGTTTACAAATATCATCCGCGTATTCAAAATTCTGCTCTAAAACTATTATAATTAAGGTTCAATTTATAAAATTTCGATCAAACACATAATTGACTTAGGTAAATTTATCAAGGTACTTCGTGATTAGGGAACGTTTTGAATGTTACATTAATCTGAATACGATAACGTATAAAAGACTAAATTTATCGATAGTAACTTTATCGATATTTTATTTAGGTGACGATAACCCGCATGAGGTAAAATCATACTTTGCCTATTAAATACAATATTTTGATTAGATAATTCTAACTATTTCTATGTAACATTACACTAATGCTCGTTGGGGTAGGTGAATTTTACGCTTTCATACTAGCGTTTGTTCAACGTAGGCGTTCGATAAACGTATGCGCCTCGCAGACGCCGCGCTGACGCTGACACGGTGCGACAACGTGAACGCCTACGCTGGACAAGCGCTAGTATGAAGACGCTCTTCAATAAATGCTCAAAATTAGTCACATTTTACATTCATCAACAGCCTATAAATGCCCACTGCTGAGCAAAATCTCTTCTCACACGGAGAAGGTTTGAGCATTAATCACCGCGCTTGCTCAATGCGGGATGGCGATTACAAACTTTAAAATCACTGACTGCTTAACACTTTTAGTTATCTCCATAAATTACGTAATGAATACTTATTTATCAAACGTTTTGGTAATAACACAATGATTGTTGAAACGTTTAGTTGTCGGAAATCCCCAACAATTTTTTATGGGTAAAAACTGTGTATCACGGAAGAAAAAAATACCAAGCATTTAACCGCATCTACGTCAATTGCGGAGACATAATGGCATCGTGTGTAAACATCGAATTGAAAAGTATGGACGCTAATTGAGATTTGCGCAAGTATGAATATTTGCAATCCCTTACATGCAAGGTACCGTGGTTTTTCTAGACGAGATCACTATTTATACATGTTTACTTCATGTATTTTATATTTACGCCTGTATTTATAACATCTAAAATGTATTGGCCGACTGCCTCATTGGCCGAGTGGTCGCAAGTGTGACAGCCGGGCAAGAGGTCTTGGGTTCGATTCCCGGGTCGGGCAAAATATTACTGGGTTTATAAAAATCCCAGTAGTAGCACGGAGTCTGGAATAGTGCCCGGCATATGGCAATAGGCTCACCCCCTATTACAAGGGTCTCATAACATATATAGTGAAAAATGTGCACCTCTGCCTACCCCTAGTATTACATAACTGTTATGTTATGTAAAATGTTTTAGAGAGGTTTCAGAATATATTAGGCAGTGTTTAATCAAAATTTTTTAGAAACCTAATAGGGATGATCACAGAGTATGAAAATTAAAAATCTAATTAGTCCGTAAGTTAGGTAATGAAAAAAAATATTAGACACATATTTTTTATGTTGAAAACAATACTTAGATAAAACCAATCAAAGTTTAGAAGTGGGAGGTAGCTACGTCATTTTAGATTGTAAATCGTACTTAAAAGTGACGCCATGCGATATTTCAAATCAATATAATATCTTCAAAACTGTTCGTTTCCGTAAGAAAATAAAAATACGTGTCTACAGTTTTTAAATACCCTAAGAGACAGACATTGAAATAAAAATTGATAATCTAGCCTATTGCAATCTAAGAGTGGAAAATCCTGAATTAAATAAAAATAAAAAAGTATTGAAAATTTTCCTACGTAGTATAGCGCATTGAGGCTTGTCTTAGCGCTTTGCACATGGTGCCATTATCGCTCTACTGGCATGTAGCTGTTTACGTAGTACCTACAGGTGTCATAAAGAAGGGTCGAAGTCTATACTTAAGGGGTTGATATGTTAGCACATTGTCTAGTTAGACAGTTCCTAGTGACTTCATTTTCAAGATGAATCTAAAGAAATGTTTGATAATATGATAATGAGACCAATCGTTCTACAAAAAATATTTATATGTAGGATCAGGGTCCGACATTATTTGAAAATAAAACAAAGAGCTTTACACAATCACTTAGTTTATTTCGATTAAATGAACTTACTTTCACATTAATTTTTTAATTATAATAATTGAATAATTCAGCACTGATTATATAAAGGAAACACTCAAATAAAACCAACAATAAAATTACTCAGCGATTGCGTAACGTGTGAACTGGGCAACGATCGACGAACGACTGACTCGAGCT